TCTGTTCTTGTTCCAGTTAAAAGGATTTTACTAATAGTACTAATAATACCTATTAAAAGCTAACCATTAAGATGATAACATCAGCAATTTTGGAAAAAGTTCTTGGTACATGTACTATCTTGTTTAATCTTCTGTTTTTAAAAAATTGGCAACAGGTTAGATTCATTTTAGATAAACAGAATTTTCTTATTTTGATATTTTAGGAAAGGTTAGTATTTCATTATAGGTGGGATTTATTAAGATAGGATAGGATAAGGATTTTGTACAGTGGAGGTGTGTGCCTGTCATGAAGCAGTTGTTTGACCTATCTTGCATCACCCCCACTTGAGAATTACTTTGTGCTACAAATCTGAAATGTTATTTTTTGTGACTGTTTCTTACTGTCAGATTCTTGTAGTTTTGTATGTTCTAAAGAGGACTGTTTTTCATAGCACGCTTGCAACAAAAATGCACCAAAATTGGGTTTTCTCATGATGATTGGAGATTGTGTAAACTGCTCTTAATTATCAGTGTAATCTTTGTTAATTTTGTCTTCCAGACAGAATGAATTTATCATACTACATTAAGTGGGAGTGGGGAATCTTTAGTTGATATGTATATATGTGCTTTTTTGAACTCCGTATGACCATGCTATTGAAAATACAACAGCACAATTTTCCATCATTTTCAGATAGAAAGCAAAACTAAAGTTAGGACCTTCAGAAAGCCAGTTATTCAAACATATGAGCAGTCAAACATAAATACATGAGTAGCTAAATATCAGTCAGCTATTTTAAAGTTGTAACTCTATGCTCTTCCTGTACTGATTCAATCTGTCCATTCTGATTCTTTGGGTTTGGATCTCCTGAATATCCAGAGAATTTCATAGAAATGAAATTTCACATTCTCTCTGCTTGGTATATCATATAGCTCAATGGAGAGACACTTCTGTAATTTTATTTTTCCAGATCACAATTGCTTGGGCACTCAGCAAATCCCCTTCATATTGCAGGTTCAGTTCTAGTGGTAGCGCTGTTCCACTGTTTTGCTTAAACTGTCTATTTGCTATTAAGTACATTTTTAAAATTTTCACCATTGGTTCATGTTTGTGGTTTTCCTATATGTGTCTGCTTCTCCGCTCCGAATTCCTTGATGTAATTTCCCCTTGGTAGTTTAAAGGCGTGGAACATGCATATATGTGTGGATCAATAAATATTTTAAAGGAAAAAGGACAACGTTATTTGAAGGGAGTATTATGAAGAAGATTAACTTCTTCAGTGGAAAGAAGTATCTTTCTGTGGGCAAACAGATCTCTTAGAAAAGTTTCTGAAATATTTTATCCAAAGAGCAAGTCCAAATTATGAAGTGGAGGAGGTAGGAAAGTAGCTGGAAATATGGACAGATTAAATTGTCTTTTGTCACAAATGTACAGAGGTAGGCTTCTTTAATTAGAAACATCCAGATAAACAAAATGGGAAGAAAACAATTTAGGAAAGAAAAGTGACACATCATAAGGTGGTATCATCAGCAAAATGCTTAAAAATCCATCAGAATGGATGTAATAATGATTATTCTTATCACTGGTGTATCTGTCATACAGTTCTTGATCTTTTTTATGGTTTGGAATATGTTTGCAAATATGTTTGGGATATTAAGTTAAAGGATTTCTTATTTAGAGCTGATTCAGATACTTTCTGGATTTCCATTTAAAAATATGAGCTAAAAATGTGTGTGTGTGTGTGCGCATGCACACACATGTGTATCTGTGTATCTGTGTATTTAAATTTACTTCCATCATTGACATGTTGCCAAATCACTTCTGATTGGCTTGTTTCTGGAGGATAAGATAGGAGTTCCAGAATGTCTGTAAGATAAGCACTTCCTACATTGGAGGAGTTGCTTGTGAACTATTTAGAAATCTCCACAATGCAAGGATTCTCTCACCAGAGAGAAACTACTATGTTTTCAGTAGTGACAAATAGTGAAAATAGTGATGAAATTCTGTTACTAGTGCTTGATTCACAATTGCAAATTATCATTTGTTACTCTTCCCTAAAAGTGATGAAATTGCAAATGTTAATCAATTTCTTGGTTTCCTAGGCTATTTTTTAGTATACAAATAAGGGAAGTTGTACAAGTTGAAAACTCTTTTTTTGAGCCTTCTAATCTTATAATTCAAGTGGAAATGACAAATTTCACAGAGACAAATTTAATTCCATGTGGCTTTTGGAGAAATATAAGACTGTATTAGCACCTTCTGTTTTCTTAGACATGCTGCTTTTCAATAGGGGCCCTCTATAACTATGAAGCTGCTGGCATGTTCTGCAAATGTACCCTTTGCTTTGCGCTCAAGGTCATGCCCAAGTACCAGCATCACATTGTGGGAAGATAAAAAATAGATTATCATTAGATGCATCAGTGTTAGTGTGCTGTGTCAGTGTTAGCTAATGCAGGTGTGAAATAAATTTTCCTATTCTCTGTGGCATTACCCTAAATGTCTCACTGTGATTAATGAATGCATCTTGTAACTTTATGTTTCTAAACAATTACTGTGCTGCTACTTCTTACAAGGAGAGCCTCTTTTGGTATTTTAAAATCGCTACTTATGATTCAGAAATTTGATGAAAAATGTATGTAATCTGAAAATATTTAACTAAAGTAGTAATTTGAATTGTGCTTTCATCTTTGTTCTTGCTAGTTTTTAAATTGGCAGGGTGAGATTTTCTCTGACTGTCCATTTAAGGGTTTTCACTGAAGGCAATGTTTCAAAAGAAAAATGTTGTAATTGGCAAGTTCCAGAGAAGTAGGCATCGTATCTGTTCCTTAAAAGAAAAGAAACCACAAGGTACTGCCACACACCTCAACCAACACAGCACAGGCAGATGAGTAATATATAGATACTGTTGTATGTGATCCAGCCATAGTTAACCACCATTGTATGTCTTGCTTAGTGCAGTAAGTGAGATTTAAATATGTGTTTTCCTGTATCTTGACATAATAGAAATTTTGGCTGAATGTTTACCTTAATATATTTTAGTTATTTACATGTAGAAGTTTGAGATTCACATAAACATATATGTACAGAATACTTCTATATGGAGACATAAAAGGTATAGGAATATGTTTCATCAGAGATTTTTTTTTTATGTCACTAATTTGTGATATCACATTGCAGATTCCATCTCTTACATACTTGTGTGTAAAAGTTGCAACACAAGTACGAAAAGGGTGGAATTTGTGTTGCAATGCATACTTGGGTATTTGGTCCCCTTGCGGACACCCATGGTTGTCAGTTCCCATTGTTTGTGTGATGATTTTTTTTTTCTAGAGGTGCAAAAACTTACATTTGAAAGCAGTAATATCAAAAATTATTTCAAAAGTTAGTGTCATATTGATTGAGATATTGGACTGGGAGAGCTAGATTCAAGTTCTTACTTGAATAAGGAGCTTATGTTGACCAGTCACTATCTCAGTGCAATTTATTTCAGAGAGCTGTTGTGGGTGGTATAGTGAGGGGTACCTCCATATACACTGGTTTGAGCTCTTAGAGGAAAGTTGAGTTATAAATGTGACCATAACAGATTAGAATTCAGTACCTCTGTGTGGATGGTTTGAAAAATAAACTGAGAAAGCTGTATGAAGAAATTTCTTTTAATTGAATAACGTTACTTATTTTGCATAGCTTACTGTTTTATGGCTGTCTTGCATATTGTGGGCAACAAAAGCATATACCGTGAAATAGAAAATTACAGCTGTACATCGGTATTCTTGAAACATGATGTCTTGATGTCCCAAGGGAATTTTTCAACAAATGCTTTATGTTAATTGGTTCAGTACCTGCATATCTGAGCTGGCAAAAAATTAATAATTGTGCTCTCTCCCTCTCTCTCTCTCCCTCTTTCTCTGGTATATATAAATACTAAAAGCTGTGTGAACAAGATTGCATATTTGTGTGACTCCTCTGGCATCAATATGTAGTTCTATTGCTGATTAATTTTCAAATTCTTTCATGTTATTAAAAAATGATGACCAAAAGAAGGTTAACAATCAAATAACATTGCTTTATCATTCTGTTTCCTTAGCCTTTTTTTGTTGTATTCGGCCAGTTTACTTCTGTAATATGAGTCTGGATCTATCATTTGCATTGTTTTATTCTGTGTGAGAAATATTTGCATATGAACGTAACCAGTAGGAGGGCAGATTATTTCACTTAATTTAAATAACATCAGTGTGTGATTTTTGCAAGGTTTTTCTGGGAGGCTCTTGGAAGTAATGAGAGTTCTTCACCAAGCAGAATGCTTCCTGCAGGCTGTTTGGTCAACAGTCTCTGCTCTACAGTCACCCCTTTAAGATTGTTGGTATAATAAACAAGTAATCCTTCCATTCTGTAGGATCTGGGGTGGAAAAAGTCAGTACAATAAGCAGTGTATTTATCAAGAGGCACCCTTTTGTGAATTTTATCCCAAGCTTTTGGTGGGCTTTGTTTTCAGAAGTTAATATTTCATTATATGTGCTCGATGTGCAAGAATGAATATTGTACTTTTTTTCTGACATATTCATTGCGTGAGCAGTTTTATAGAATGGTCGGTTACATTGATATAGCAGTTAAACTCACTGAAATGCCGTAAAATGCCATAAAATGGTTACAACTTCCTTAGCAATTTTAAGTTGCAGGCAAGAGCAGAATGTAACTTCAATCAAGCAAAAAACAAACTAAATAACACTCCTCTTTTCTATTATTAACTGTCCCCCTTTAATTTAAGTGTTGAATCTAATAATTTGTAATTAACAGCTTTGTTATATGCTCTCAGTGCCCCTGGGGAAAGAGAGCGCTGCTCAAATTCTGGTGCATTGTGAATTTTCTGAATGTAAATCAAGGGCAGTGGCTGCTGCGGATGGCAGCGCTGATAGAGAGAAAATGCAGCTCTAATCAAAGCTTTTCCCCACCCCTTCTTTCTTTCAGACCCTTGGGATTTTACTCATTTTTCTCTTTGTTGTTTGTCTCCCTCCCCAAATTAAAGCTGGATGATGAAGTGACCACTGTTCAAGTGAAGGAACTGGACCAAGATGTGCTGGTGCTTAGGAAAGTGTTGTCACAGAGCCCAGCCCCCACATCAGGGAGTGCCGAGAGTGATTGGAGGTAAGAGTTTTTCCTTGGGTGCTCAGACACAGCTAGAGTCACGCTGACGCAGAGCTCTCAGCAGCTGGGTGAATTTGGTTGCTGGCAACCGAAGTGAGAGAGCAGCATTGAGGGAATGTCATTATTATTTGCCATACAGTATGGGAAGTTCCAGACTGAGGATCTTTGACCCTCACATAGAGAAGAAGGATTCTGCTTTGTTTCTAGGCAGAGAACTGCCTTTGCCCACATTTGATGTGCCTTATTTTAAATACATTGATGAAGAGGATGAGGAAGATGAATGGAGCAGCCGTTCTCAGTCTTCAACAGAGGATGATTCTGTGGACTCTCTCCTTTCTGACAGATATGTGGTGGTATCAGGGACACCAGAGAAGATTTTGGAGCATCTCTTGAATGACTTGCACCTGGAAGAAGTACAGGACAAAGACACAGGTAAATTATAATAACATCATGCTCATGAAAAGCAGTGTCTCTGTGTCCACTCATGCTCTTAGCAAACACGGTTGATCAGCTACTATGCAAATATATCTATAATATGGTATTTTTCCTATCAGCGTTTTCTTAAAATGATTATAATTTTATAATGTTTTTGGATAATACTATTTCATGTGCATAGCATTCACCTATATTTAACAATAGAAAATCAAACTTGAAAATGAGGGTTTTTAAAAATGTACCATTAACGTTTCAGTACCCTGCTTATGTCTATCAAGATAAAAGAAAACAATTGTAGCAATGGGTGTGTGATAATGAGGCAATCAGAAGATAGCAAGCTGAGTTATATAGCTGTAGGGTATATAAGTCAGCAATTATTTAAAGTACTCCATAGCTACTTGGTTAGTACCAACTGTTTCTTAATTTTTTAGCATTAATAGCTTACCCACATCACATATTGTGCAACAGAATAACCTTCTTTAGTACTTGGCTGCCTTCAGCTAGAGATTGTACTTTTGTTTCAGCCTAGAGCAATTATTATATTGATCAGGCTGCTTGACGTGCAGGTTATTTTTCAGCTTGATCTTCTACCTCTAATATATACTGTGCTGTCACCAAAGCTCCTTTGGTAGTTTATCAAGACCACCTACAATTTATTTACAGTTTTAATTAAAGCAGACTGTTGGCTGTTCTTAAGAGTTCCCTGTACAATTGCAGAAGGGCTGTGAAATACAGAAAGCTGGAAATGGAATTAATATTTTTTATTGTTCTCAGAGGAATGCTGTTTTCCAAATGAGATTATTAAAAATAAACACATTTGCAAGGATTAAAAAGATTAAAGCATAAATAATATGTATGAATTCTTAGGCATTCCTGAGTCAGATTTTTCTGACTGCAAATCTGTAGAACATTGTCAGGCATAAGGCATTTGTGCTTACTGCACTATGTAGGTTTCCTAAATTATAAGCAAAAAGAAAGACCCAGTGCCTGATTTATTGTACTGTCCACCGAGCTTTTTCTCTGTGAATAGGGATTAATACTTTGTGCATGGAAGCCATGGCTGTGTAATTGCCTCAGGCATAATCATAGTAATGTTGTATGTAATTTTTCTAGCACCAAATAATCAGCTATATAAAAAGTGGTGGTCCATGTCAGGTTTGTCTTGGCTAGGCAGCATAAATCCCACTGTGTTCTTAACATTTGAATGTTTATATGGAGTAATCTCTCCTGTAGACTCCTGTAGATTTATTTGTACATCTTTCAAATCCTATTGGGCATAGTGGACTCCCCAATCATGTACATTATGGTTGCTTGTTTTTAAAATCTGAAAAGAGTACAAGTTAATGTTCATTTCTCCAGTAACTCTTTCTTACTCCCCTGTTGTCCTTCCCATTTCTCAGACTTATTCCAGTGCTCCTTAATATTATATGTCATCCTTCTGTACTACAGGTGAAAAATAGCTATCCAAGCAAGACTGGCTGAGATAAAATATATTTAGTGATTATTTCCCTGAACATTTTTGTGGGTATCCCTACTTTCTCAAAAGAGCTGACAGTAACAGTCTTGTATGAGCAATATAATCTTAAGAACTGTAAAAGAACACAAAATTTATGTATTAAAAAAATAATGAAATGGCTGTGGAGGTTCATCCCAAAATATTTCTAGATGCAGACATAACAAGCTGAAGTGTAAAAACTTACACAGTGCATTTTGATGGTGCTGCATTGGAGCAACATCCCATATTAGCTATAGTTTCTTTTATAATTTCTGGAATGTGAAAAGCATTGTCCATTAGTGCTGGGAATTGATCCATTCTAAGGCCCTCAATAAATAAAGAATCTCCTCCTAAACATGCTAAGAGATTTAGGCAGGCTTCACCTGGATGGCAGAACTGAACATTTAAATGATGGACTGGAAGCCACCCCTTTGAAGGCGTTAGAGGGCATGCTTCAGGTCTTTTCGGCTATTTATCCTCAGTAGAGGTTGGCCATTGGTGTTCCTTTTGGATAGTTTGTCTTAGGCCTACTCTTACACTCACTCTCTGCTTATGATGCATGACCTGGCTGGGAAAGGCACCTGACTCCTGATCACACAGAGTGATATCTGGTTATTTCCTGACAGCCTGTAGCCTGATGATATTTTGGAAACATTCTGTCCTTTTTTTTCTCAGTGATTTATTCATTTTGAGGTTTGCCTTAGTTAGCAAATGAGTGCATACAATATATAGTAAACTTAAGCCAAGTTCTGCTACCAGTTTATTTTTTGGGGACCTTTTAGATAATATTTAGCTTAATATTTATATTAATATACATCTCCAAAAAGTATAGTCTCATTTAAATTCTGGATCATGCAATCCTTTTACATGCATTAATACTATGTGCAAATTCATAGTATTTCACTAACAAAGTCATGATTAGGATATAGAAGGTCCATAAAATGTTAAAATTACTCATATCTTTAATTCAGTTCTAGCTATTCTAATAGATGGTGGTTTCCTAAGGCCTCAGATAAATGTCATTTGTTGTTTGGCCCCCAAGGTTTAACTACAAATATCAGACATTAAAAAGTCCAAATAACTGTCATTAAGTAATTAATGTCTACTGTTTCAAAATATGCTTTGAAAAAAAGTTGGAAACAGTCTTTAGTTCTTGATCTTTTATGCTGTTCCTATTTATATGCATGAGGATAAATTCTTCATTATAATGAATGAAAAGAAGGAGGATTTTATAAGATTAGAGATTGATGGAAACAAGCTGCCACATGAACCCATATTTCGCTTAAGGAGTTGTAGACATCCACTCATCCAAACATACTCCAAAGCACCTTTTCGTGTTTGAATTTAAAGCCTTACGGAAAACCTGTCAGTACTCATTATAGTTAGGAAAAAAAAAGCCTGAAGTCCCAGATGAAAGAAGTTCAAAGACTTTTTCATAACCTTGCTATGTTTTATCAGATACAACCATTTACAGTATTAGAAGGATAATGTACTGTATATCCTCTTTATTTCAAATCAAGGAAATCTTTTTAATATTATGTAAGTTTCTTATAACAGGTACAGCAGATTTTCCTGAAAGTCTGGGAGTCTTTCTTCAAAAAATCCCCCAGAAAATTATTTTAGCTTTGAACTTGATGAATTTTATGAGAAATCTTTGTGGCAAGGGATTGTGTTTAAATCTATTTCAGCAAGTCAACAAGGCCATAATCCGTGGTTGGCATTACACCCCACTAAAATTAGTTATCTAAATTGTAACCTTTTAAAATTGTGATGGTGGAGCTGTAGGCAAACTGGTACATTTCTTCATTTTTTTTTAGAAATCAGTCCTATTTGCTTACTGTACAAATTGTATAAATTGATGCAGTGTAAAAGAAATTGAATAATTTTCTGTTAACTGCTAGATTTATTACCACAAAACAATGAAAAAGTATCTTTTGTATCAGTGGTATTTAAAAGTATGAGAAATTACTTAGGCTGAGAAATAAACACAACAACAAAGAGCTTTGAAGTATCCTATGGTTAGGGTAATTTTCTTTGGATGTGATCACAACATCTCTTAGCTATATTATCAAGGATTTTTCTTATATATTATCTTCATCTGTCCAGATTATAGTCCTGTGTAAAAAATAATTGAAAATGGATAGTTTAATGTTGATATTTCTCCTTATTTGTGAACTTGTATTTCTCTTTATTTGTGAACGTACACATCTGCCCAAGTTTCTTTTTGTTTACTTTTGTTTTTATTCCAGTTAATTTCATTGGATGATTGCAAGTATCCAAATCACCCAAAATATTACGGATGATTTTTAAAAAGGGGAGGATTATGGGCTCCAAAAACATATTTCCATGTTGGGTGAGTGGGCATTGAACTAACCTATACAGTTCAGTGTGAAGTTCTTGTGCTCTCTGAGCTTGGCTGTTTGCTTGCAGTCGTTTCATTATCCAGCTAAGTAACATCACCAGATGTTGTTACTTAGCTGGATAATGAAACGTCTGCAGGCAAACAGCCAAGCTCAGAGAGCACAAGAACTCCATGGTTCAACCCTGAGCTACAGATATTTATCTTCTACTGGAACAGTTCAATGTATTGTGATTCACACTGGATCAAACTGTAGGTTGATCGGGTCTGGCACTGACCGAATAGAAAAATACTTCAGTTTCACTGCATGCATGGCAACCCTGAATCAAGCAGATGTCACTTGCCAGAAAAGAAATCATAATAAGTTACAGAATCATAATACTTGTATAAAATTTAAGGATGATCACTCTTGGAATGCTACGTATCATTCTGATTTCTGCACCTCCCCAAAATACTGTATTTCTGAGCAGGTGTAGAAAATGGTAACAAAGAGTATTGGACGGCTGGACCAACTCTTAAGTAAAGGTTACAACATTTAGAGGGACTATTTTGTTTATTTAAAAAAATAAGTAATAGGTGACATGATAAATATATATATATAATGATATAGAGTAAGGATAGAGATGAAGTTAAATAGTGGAAGATTATGGATAGGTCAAAAGGAAGTATTTTCATTTGTTTATAGTTAAACCATGCAATTTATACTTTTATAAAAAAGTGTGTACGATACTTGCAGGCTTCTACTCACACTTGCTATATATTATCAGAGGCAATATTATTTTAAAAAGTACCTGCAAGGGAATAAAAGAAAGACAATTGCCTTAATATTGTGTCTCCTTTTGGGATTCCCATGGCATTTTTAGGGAACCAGATGCTATAGCAGATTGGCTATTCAGTTCTTTTCATCATTTTGTGTTGTATGAATGTGCTTTATTTCTGAGCTGTGGCTTGACTCCAACATATTGATGTATGTTTTATATACATAAGCAAAATGTGTACAGAAATTGCGTCAGAGACTGAGATTTTAAATTGTACATTAGATATACAAGCATGCTCAAGTTTAATTGTATATTCAAAATGTGGAGGACTTTGGGAGATTGCTGCATATATTCAGAGATCGAGTTTTGTTTTTTTCAGTACTGT